GAGTTATGCAAGTATACAAGTATAATATTCGCATGAATAGAATTACTTAGATTCCGTCCTCTGTTTAACGTTCTTCATCTTGAAGTATTTCCCTGGCTTTGATTCTTACAAGTTGAAAGAGTATAAACAGGTTAGTAGCCGGAAATCACTATATGGGTATATTGGAGGCAGTAAAGTCTGGCTTGATTGCACAAACTTATTCAGATATACTTGATAACGTAATAATTCGTAGACTAAGTTAACTAAAATTATACATTTAATTAGTTTTTTAACATTTCTTATATATTAAAAAGAAAGGTGGGCTAGTTGGTAAGCGCATACATATGTAGATGATATTATTAATATAACACCACAAAAATATACGTGAACAAATTTGACAGCTGTCGAACTATTACTTTATGAGTTATAGCCTTTTGGGTGATGGATTATAAAGAATTTCGTGTTCTAAAACCAACCAGAAATTTTAAAAACTTTTATTAGGTATATGAGAGGTAGGGGTAGTACTGACCTGTTTTTATCCACTTTTGTCATTAGTTCATATAATTAACAGAAAACGATGATCTCTGAATTTCATTAACGTACATCACCCACCATCGCCAATATATGCGATATAATCTCAACTACACTTTAGAAAACCCTGCTATTATTTGCATGGCTTCTAGGGCAAGTTTTAACCGAATATTATCCATTTTTGGCCCTAAGCGTGTTCTCAAAATTTTATTGGTATAACTCACATATTTGCGAAATAAATTCAGCCGGGAGTTCTAAAATCTTTCGATTAGATTAAGCGAATTACTGATCCGATTAAATCCATTTTGACATTCATTGCCACAAAAGAATTTTCACTTAATTCATGGCAAACAACGAATGGCCAGATACTTAAAGGTATGCAGCGTTGTCGGACGCATTTGAATTAGAATTTTTATCATTACATTTAGAGAGTTTTAAATAAATAGGACATTCTTTGAATGTTTTCTAAATTTTTACAAAATTACTCAGATAATAAAACAGTTTAAGAGATTTTGCTTAAGGACTCGATAAATAATAAACAAAAAAATATAAAGAGTTTCACAAAGTTTAAATAAAGAAAAGTAATCTATTTCATAGTGACAAAATTATGTTAAGGAGTATTCTAATAATAAGCAATCAGTACTTATTAGTTTGTAATTGTATTTGGAGGATGAAGTCATGTGTAGAAGTTCACGAAAATGAGTAAAGTTCTCTGATTTCCGCTCACTTGGGAATGGTCAGAAACGATTATTTTACATATGGCTCAAGCAGCTCCTGACTTCCGATCTTACACCAAGTATCTCTGGGTAGCCAAAAACATCCGTTTGATGGCCAGGTTAAGTAGGAAGTAAATTCAATATGTAATTCGTGGCAGGAGGGAGTCTCTATCACCGAGTACTGGTTTTCACTCCGCTGGAACATCCCCAAATGCTGATGCTGATCGACTTCAGCACCAACAAATTCATCAAGCTACCTGACTGTCTCCGGATCAAAAAACCATCAACCAGATCAACCATGTTGTGATAGACACGTTTCTAGTCTTTTAGATGTGTGCACGCACCGAGGTGCTAACATCAACTCAGACCACTATCTTGTTGCAGCCTAGATATGCACCCGCATCTGTGCAGCAAAAAACGCACATAAACAAACACAAGGTTCGACGTCGAGAAGCTGCTACCACAACAGACAGCCGATCGATTTAGATATATACCAAGATCTGAAGAGGGAAGTAGACGCAGTTGCAGACAAGGAAAGAGAGATGCCGAAATTCGTGAGTATAAAGAGTTTCTCGAACCGACCCACAAGGATAACTCAAGACCGGAGAAGGCGAACTCGATTCTATAATCCATGACCATGAAGCAGAAATACTAGAGATTGATCGTACATTAGCTAGTGACTAGGAAAGTGTAAGCGATGAAAAAGTATTTTATTTTCAGCAATACGAGAAAATAACGAACCATACATTCAGTTACAGAAACTAAACCGCTAGAAATATCAATGTTACAATGTCACAAAAAAACGTACACACAGAATCTACACGCCTGGACAAGAAATATTTGGGAAAGCAATCAGAAGAGATAAATATACTAAATGCTACAAAGCTGCTCACTGGAAGTGAGAGAGCAATTGCTAAACGTCAAAACTTACTGAAATTTGACAGCTAATCGAGTTCAGTAGGTTTTGACGTTTATCAATTGGAAACGAGCGATGGCCAGATTGAAATCTTACCAAAAAAATATGTAAACGGAGGRATTTGTCGTTCAAAACCACTTATAAAAAATGTGGAACAATGAAAATTAAATAAATTTTGTGAAATTTAAAGGTATTTGTTAAAACGTTTGCAATTTTAAGCATCATAGCATTATTTTCAATGGAAAATAATTAAAAACATATAATGATTGAGAGCTAACAAGCTTAAATCCTTTTATTGGATATTCAAAGGTCAAAAGTTAGTTGTTCTAATATACTTTAAAAAGATTTAAATAGTTTCTCCATATAATAAATAACCATTATATAGAGATTTTTATTCGTACTAAATGTTGGTTGTTCTAATTTAAATGCCCAAAAATTATTATTTTGTCCAATCTGGCCATAATGGAAAATGTTATAAAAAAAGCTAAGTTTGAGGTGCTCTCACACTGGAATAAGTTGAACATCCCTTTATTCCTGTTCTCAAGCGTTGGGCATCTTTGTGACATCGCTGTGATGAATTTTGCGTACACATACGTAATTATTATACAAATTCAGCCGCCGGTTCTCATAAGGCTTTTTCATATAATTTTGGGGGTAAAATTGAATGTCGGCGTCGTTATTAGTTATTGACTTATTGCGCTTTTAGTAGTTTTGAACACGACCATTATATGGGGAATGAGTGGGGTTATCTTCTGATTTCATCCATTTTCTTATAAGAATCTAGCTTAGAAATTTAGGTTGTCGTAGTTATGGCGGTTTATAGCTTTTCGGTTAATGGTGATTTGTGGACATGGCAGTTGTTTTTGTACTAAGGAACCTGGATATCAAGTTTCATCAAGATATCTCAATTTTTACTCAAGTTACAGCTTGCACGGACAGACGGACAGACAGACATTCAACCGTCACTCTGATCATTTATATATACATAACCTTATATCTAATTCGCTTAATTTAAGGTAATATGTATAAATGTTAGTGAATAAAACTACATATAATACTCTGTAAAAACGTGTTGCCAAAGGATTCAACCTTCATTATTCGACGAAATCATGAAGGTTATCTTATTCACTTAAATTGAAGATCATTGACTCACTTAGCTTTATTTTCATTTTTTACTTCACTTCGGCTAAAATTATGTGATTTAAACTCAACCGATAAGAATGAATTAAATATGAGTTATGTGCAAAAATAAAATTTAAACTATGCTATAAGTAGTCGAGAACAAATTCATTCGTATTCAGCGGTAAACTATATATTTTTTAAGAAAACGTGTTCAATTAGTTTTATTACAATATAAAAATAAATAAATTTAATATATTGGGTTGATGTGGAAAATGTAAGCCAAAGATTATTTATACAGGACGCAAAAATAAATGGCATTATTCTTCAGGAAAGTTGTGCAATTAATTTCATTAGAATATCACACTTTCAGACTAATATTTACGGGCGAAAGTCAAGTAAAACGTCGAACATCACTGTATCGGATATATTGGGACTACTATAATGATTGTATTAACCTTTGCCATTACTAAAGTACAAGAAAGAATATGTTTGTATGCAAATTTTGAGAAGCTAATTCTCACACTGGCCAACATTTTGGCACAGGGTCTGCTGAAATAATGAAAATCATTATGGATAGTAAGTACGAGTATATGGTGGCTGAAGTGATTCATTGCCCGATTTCACACATTTCAATTTCACTATATTACATAAAGTAAATTTCCTTTGATTCTTTTCATATTTACCGATATATAGTGTATAGAGGATGATTTAAAAGCTTTATAATTTTTATAAGGGAGCTAAGGCAAGTTTCAATCTCTCTGAATTTCTTTAAAATAACTCATTTACATTACTCATTTACTCAGGCTTACTGTTATCAGGAAAATATTATCTCTGAATTCCATAACCTATTTCTCAGATCAGCCAATATTTTTGGCAAAAAGTTGCCATGTTCAATAGGTTCACATCTTCGGTATCGGAGGGCTTGAATTGTTATAATCCGGTTCTGACAACCTTTAGTCATGAGGCGGCAAACTTTAAAAGCACTATTTGAACAAAGTTTTACAAGTATATTCATTGCGGCTTGATTTGTGTTCTGGAAAGTGGAAAAATGAGATGGAATTTATAGTTGTGCTCGTTCATCTGAAATATAACGAATTTGGTTGAAATTTATCAATTAAGCCTTTAAATATGGAATTTCACCTAATAGTGGGTTATATGGAGGTGAGGTTATCATTTTAAAACAGAAGATTTTCTTCACTAATACGATTAGCCGCACCAAATAACAGTTTTGAATATCATTATGGAGTTCAGTTATCTCTCTTAATAGGTTTTAGATTAACGGCGTTTTGAGGGAATGTTAAATGTACACAGATATGTAAAGTTTGTACAAAGTTTTAACAACCTATATTAATTTTTACTCAAGCTATAATTTTCACCGACGGTCAGACAGTAATTCAGAATTCAACTTGTCTCGCCATCCTAATCATTTCTATACTATGATATTACCCTATATCTATCCCGATTAGCTGCACTTGTTAAAACAATCGTTAAGTAAACAGAACTATTATACTCCGTAGCAATATGTTGTGAGAGTTTAAAAATATTTTATTTAAATGCGTTACAAAATTTTGCGTTTGATTGGATACTTTCCTGATTAGATACTTTCCTTACGTAGCATCTCACACATATTATACATGTTTGTTTACAAATGTGAATACCAATTCTTAAAATTAAGTACGCCGATATAATAAAATAGTATAACAACTTCTTCTTCTTCTTTACTGGCGTAGACACCGCTAYGTGGTTATAGCCGARTTARCAACAGCGCGCCAGCCGTTTCTTCTTTCGGAATTTGGATTTTGWCGCCAAGTGCAGCCAACTAGTACTATAAAATTAATCACTAAACAGTAGAATTGTCGTGTGCTTCTAGTCTTATTTATAACAAATGATGTTAAGTAGTGAAACAAGWACACCGTCCATTGCTAAACAAAAAACACAGCAAAGCAATAACACCACTAATTTAAGTTCGAAGAAAAATATCAAGAGTTTGCATGAATTATTTTTGGAAATACTAGACGCAGTGCTATCATGTGTCATAGTGGCACCATGCGTAATCGCCTATTGGCGAGGAACTTGGGAGCTGATGGGTGTTTTATTGTTTCCACGAAGCATGCCGCTATCTGCGCTCACGTCCTTTTTGATTGGTCTTTCGGGTCACTTCATCTTTACAATCACGCAATCGTGTTTTCGAAGATACATCAACCCTGATAAGCGCCGCCTTACCTATTACGTACTTTCGCGAAGCTATACAGCTTTATTTGGCATCGTATGTGTGAATATGTGGCGCGGTTCGTGGATATTATGCGTATGGCTCACCAGTGCGGACTCCTTAATAATTATTGCCGCCGTAACGCTAGTGTCTTTGATGTTTTTAATTGCAACACGGACTGTTCGAAACCTGAGCGCCGCACCTTATGTCGTTGCCACGGACCATAAAAGTGATTATTTCGACGTTGACACTATGTTTAAAATACCAGTAAGTTGAGTCATATGTACATAATCTTTATAAGAAATTTGTATTTACATATGTATGTATAATCAAGAAGGAAAGAGCAAAGTTTGCAAATTTGTAGGATTGAAGGCGGAAAAGTACTTTCAGTTATTGTAAAACTTCAAATTGAACAAGTAAGGAAGGTCTAAGTTTGGGTACAACCGAACATATTATACTCTTTCAACTTAGAAGAACCAAAGCCAATGAAATACTTCATGACATAAAACGCCAACCTGAGCATACTGACAGACACATACGGTTTGTTAGAAAATCGAAAACCATTGTATGGAAGTTGGAGTAGTATCGGCATGCTTCTAACGTATTATTTACTAAAAAGCTAATCATATATAGTAAATTCAACCGAATGTTCGAAAATGCTGATATTAGTTATATGGGGGTAAGCCAAGTTTTCGCCAAATTTATCTATTTTAGGCACAAAGATGCACTGTTATGAATAAAACCGGCCCTTTAAATATCTTGGGATAACTCACATATTGGCCGATATATGCTTTACAAAGTCACCACGAAGTTCGAAACTCTTTATATTTAGTATATATGGATTAAGGGAAGTATTGGTCCAATTCAAAAAATTTTTAACACATTATAAGATAAGAATTATCCAAATTAACCGATAATTTTTAAMAAATGTCAACTATAGGTAGCGGTGTCCAAATATTCGGTCCCGTAGGTACTTGAACAGTTTTTATTGGATTTGTACAATTTTTGGTCATAAGGTGGTATACACTAAGTGCATTATTCGTGTAAAGTTTAATCCCGTTATATTAAATGCTACTGGAAACTGAACGAATCAAATGGAATTACAATTGCGTATACTTCCCGTGGCGTGGTTATTGTTCAATTTGCTCTTTTTCACAGTCTGACGTAGGAATCTGAAAAGAATGCAAGATACCAAATTTTGTCGAAATCTGTTGGTCGGGTCCCAAGATATAGGATTTCACCAAAAAGTGGGTGGTCCCTCGCCCATAGTCCAATTTTCACAACAGCTATATAAGGATCCCTCACACTATCTCGATGATAAAATTTAATGTCTCTGGTATATGTAGTGATTGATTTATCRCGCCTTTACTAGTTTTTGACAATACTGTTATATGGAGAGTGGGGGTTATCCTCCGATTTCATTGATTTTCACACTGTCGGTAAATGTTTTATAAGATTTATACTAAGCAAATTCGATTATTGTAGCTTGAGTGGTTTGGGAGATATGTACATTAAACTTGTTAGTGGGCGGGGCCACGTCCACTTTGTAAAAAAATTTTGCCCACAGATGTGCCTTGCTACTGCAATGTTCTGTACTAAGTTAGAGTTTTATATTTTAATTTAGTGCTTAGTTATGGTACTTAATGTGTTTTCAGTTAATGGCGACTTGTGGGCGTGGCAGTGGTCCGATTGCTCGCATCTACGTACTCAATTTTTTTTTTCTTTGTACTAAGAAAGCTTTATATCTAGTTTCATCGATATACCTAAATTTTTACTCAAAATTCAGCTTTCACGGACGGACAGACAGTCAACCGGATTTTAACTTTTCCCGTCACCCTGATCATTTATATATATGAATACATATGTATAACCCTTTATCTATCTCGATTAGTTTTAGGTGATACGTACAATCGTTAGGTGAACAAAACTGTAATACTCTGTAGCAACTGGTTGCAAGAATATATAATAAAAAGGGGCTATGTTCGGGTATAACCGGCAATTTCATACTCTTGTAACTTGCAAGCATCAAAGCCAGGGAATTACCTTCTAGTGTTGACAGAACTTTTTAGAAAGCCAGTATCGAAGAACTAAGTTCGGATATAACCAAACAATCACTTACCACGACCAAAGCCAGGGAAATGACTTAAGGAACACAACATCAACCAATCGGAAACCAAGTATTTATAAATATAGTATAACTCATACACTGACCGACATATTCGGCATAAGTTTTATCAGAATCGCAGTTATTATATTTTGACCAATTTTACATATTTTATGTATTAAAATAGTGCATGTTCAATATTACATGTTCAATTAATTTTGCCGAAAGTTGGAAAATACTATATAAGATACATGGGAGACTCTGAGTTTTATGACGACAAACCACCCTTCAAGTAATCTACCTCGATATATGGAAAATATGTTACAGAGAACCCCACGCTTTAATTTTCATTCATTATTATTGTTGGTTTATACAAAGAATTATTTTTCACTTTTTAGTTTGATATGCTTTAAAAGCGTGTTTCTAAGTATTTTAAACTATATTTATTTTTAATTTTTTAGTTTGATGTGGGAAACTCCAAATTTGTTAAAATATGAACTAGGACATGTAGTATTGGTTAAGTAAACCGATAATTAGGCAGCATTTAATATCTACTCGCGGGCGCATCTAAACACCATAAAATTGATTTTATCCACTCTACACAAGGCCCTATCTACGACCCCAAAGAGATTGCTGAACACTTTGCAAGTTCATGGTCTAATGCTTCTCATAATTCTAATTTCCACATGGATTTCAACTCCCTCAGTAATATAATTATTCCTAAAACCTACCACAACCCGTCACCTTGCCCTACAGCTTCCTTAATCGAATCAGCAATCTCACYTGACGAATTCGACTCGACTATTTCTACTATGTCGGGTAGCTCTCCAGGCCCGGATAAAATATCTTACTCCCTCCTTAAAAACCTTCCTCATGCCCTTAAACTCCGACTCCTATCCTTGTATAACAGAATTTTTGACAAAGGAACCCTTCCTCAAGATTGGAAAAAAGCTGTTGTTATACCTATCCCTAAACCTAAYAAAAACAGCCCTTCCGTCCCCAACTTTAGACCTATATCCCTAATACCCTGTATATCTAAGGTGCTTGAAAAAATTATATCCGTGAGAATAATGTGGTACGCCAAAAAAAAGGGTTGACAAGCTCTAACCAATTCGCATTTCAAAAAGGCCTCGGTGTCATCGACCCAYTTCTGTATTTTGAACACTGTGCTTCGATAACGCCGTCTTCAAGAAACCACCTGTCTGTCCTTAGTCTAGATTTTGAAAAGGCTTTCGACAGAATTGGTGCACATATAGTCTTACGTGAATTAGAACGCTGGTGCGTTGGAGAAAAAATCTAAAGTTTTGTTAGAGCCTTTCTCCTGAATCGTAAAATTTTTGTCAGCGTAAATAATCAAAACTCTAACATATACCCTTTGCACAACGGCGTGCCACAAGGCTCACCTCTTTCAGTCACCTTATTTATAATTGCTTTTAATGAACTCAGCTCCCTATTATCCCAATATGATACGGTTGATCATTTAATGTACACTAATGACGTTCTAATATTTTCCGCTCTCAAAGACCTTACAGAAACTTTCACGAGAATTCTAGATGACATATCCAACTGATCAAATCTCAGGTAACAAAAGCTCAACCTTCCACATCTGCAGAAAACATAAATGCACCTTTCCTATCGTATCTCTTTCTAACACCCAAATTCCTCACACTAATACACTCAGAATACTTGGTATAATTTTTGATAAAAAACTAACTTATAAGGAAGGATCTCCGACCAGAGCCGTTTTAGCCGAAGCTGGCCTACCGAACATCCAGCAAAGAACGAAATATAATACCATGATGCTTTTCCCTACAATTCTTCATAATAGGAACAAAACCTTTTTCAACATCCTCGAGACGTCCACACCTAGCATGAATGCATCGAACAAACAGTCCACCCTCATGCAATGCATAGCCCTGATCAACGACCTCAATCTAATATCCACACCCGAATTACTCGTCGAGCTTGACCATCCACAATGGTTGACTCCCAAACATTCTTTTATAAACACTCTGTCAAAGCACCAGAAACTAAAAACCAGCTMCAACGAATTTTTTCTGCTCTTCAACGAGGCTATTGAGTCCTATAAACCAGAATGGGAACCCATGTATACCGACGGGCCGAAAACGGATACTACTACCACGTTTGCGGTGTCAAACGATCAGGGTGTCGCTATTACGGTCGGTGCTTTGCCAACATATTGCTCGCATACAGCAGAAGCTGCAGCAATTTACGAAGCGGTTCTATTCGCCTCATCAACAGGAGACAAACATACAATATGTAGCGATAGTAAATCAACCATTGATGCACTTTAAAACTCAGCAAATAATTCGTGGCTAATACAGAATATACGCGACAAACTCTTCCATCATGAAAACAGCATAAAAATAATGTGGGTACCAGGGCATGCTGGTATAAAAGGCAATGAGATAGCAGATAAACATGCAAAAGAAGGTAGTAGAGAGCCGTTGATGTTCTTTCCCCACTTTACTACTAAAGACATCAAAGAACATATAAAAAAATACTGCCATCATATACATCTCCGAGATTGGACTAGCTACCAACATCACTAGAGAGATCAAAACCCAACAGGTGTAAAACCTATCTACTCATCGGACTGCTCATGCCACAACATCAAGACGTTCACTCGTCTTAGAATAGGCCACACTACAAGAACTCACAGCCATATTCTTAACGGTACCGATCAACCAAGCTGTCACCATTGCAACGCTCCCACCCAATCAGTCAATCACCTTATCGACGAATGTCCTGCACTGCATTTACTAAGGAAATCAACCTTTGGGAATAAGAGACCTTCCGACCTTCTCAAAACAACAAACAGCGATAACATCAGTGCCATTAATAAATTTCTTAAACTGTGTAACATCAAAGACATGTAACACCACAAGCAACTAAATAACCTTACTAAATATTTTCTTTTCACCATAATCTTAGTATTAAGAGCCGAAGGCCCTGGCAGCCAGTGCTGATTCTTACAAGTGGATTAATTATTTATAATTAGTTCTCTTTTAAATAAATAAAAAATATCTACTCGTAACTTTTCGTTGACTATTTGTTATATTATTTGCGACCAATGTCTATTGGCGACTTTATGAATTATTACGGATACTTCTTAATCGAATCATAAAATTAATTTATTAGCTTATAATGAAAAGATTTTAATCAAAAATACTATTCGACACACAGACTTTTTGAAAATCTATGTAAATATATTTGGCTTATAATTTTAAACTGTCACAACCGTACTTTGACTGTTTTTTTTTTTATTTTGGTTTTATTGTATACCTTATATATTTATGATCTCCCGCGGCTGTCTCATTTTTTCAGGTAGAGAGGTTCCGATATTAGGTAGGTAGAATATTTCTTTCTGTATATTAAATTTTTACGAATTCCGCAGGAACCAAGTATCGGTACAAATTTGGCTTAATCCATAATATATAACTTAAATCGTATTCTCCGCCCTTAGATTCGGTGACAATTTTTGAAAACCTCACATCGACGTGACAAAGTTAAAAAAAAAGAAGTTTTCAATTGCAGTTGCTTCTCGGAGGCGATATGAAAACTAGGTCTGAATTTTTTTACTACAAAACTTCTATTATAACTATTAATTTTACTGTATATGTAATATACGTACACCATGTATATAGTATATAAATTTGCTTAGATTCCGATCCTCCGGTTGACGTTTTACRTCGTAGGGTATTTCCCTGGCTTTGTCCATAAATGTGCATTAACTCACTACAGAATATTGGTAAAAAAACTGTAAATGATAAAATTCTCAAGAAAGTTTAAGAATTAGACAACCGGTATGGCATTGCCGACTTCTAAGTGAAATCCAGTATCTCAGGAACAATTAGACAAATCTSAACTTAAAATCATTATGTTAGAGTTTGAAATTAAAACAAAACCAGGCCCACATACCTTATGACACAATTACACAAATTCATTTATTCGTTTTGTACTTTCGCAATTTTCAATACTTCTCGTCTTATATCTACTCGTATAGATATCTATAGCAAATTCGTAGCTCTCATAACATATTGCCCATGTAATCTATTGGTTAGATGTCCGAGACATTAATAATTTTTCTTACCGAATGACATACTGAATAACTGTTATTATATATTCTGGGCTAATTTATTTGAGATATCTTCTATTGAGATTCGTATATATCTCAGTTAAAGGGACGAACTTTAAATGATTAAATAATAAGTAAAAATAATTGGTGCGGATACAATTGCAATAGGTGATGGGGTCTAATCCGATTTAACTAATATAATGTAAAATAGAAAATACTCAAATTCCTTCAAATATTCCACAACCAAAATAAGTAGTTTGAAATTAACTGGAAAGTCGGAAACCACTGTGTTAGCTATATGTGAGCTAGGAAAAGTATTAACTTGAGAATATAACCATATTCGGTACAATCACTACAGAACGAACCTCTCAAGTTCAATGAGATAACATTTCTATTGGACTTACGATTTTATTAATTTTTGTAAAACATGGTGAAATACTGGAATCTCAGCCTGTTTGGTCGATATATGTATGAACTTTAAGTGATAGTTATTTATTTCTTATTCTCTACTTTCGTAGAAACAGCTTACGCGGTTATAGTCGAGTTAACAATAGCGCGTCAGTCGTTTCTACTTTCAGAGCTGGAGTGTTTTCGTTCATTCGGACAACATGACCTAGCCAGCACAGCCGCTGTCTTTTAACTCGCTAACCTATGTCAATTTCGTCGTATATCTCATCCAGCTCATTGCTCCATGGAATGCTATATTCGTAGTTGTCTACGTGCAAAGGACCATAAATCTTTCGCAGAACTTTTCCTCGAAAACTCGTAACTTCAATTCATCAGATGTTGTCATCGTCCAAGCCTCTGCACCCCATAGCAGGACGGGAATAATAGGTGACTTTTAGAGTTTGGTTGTTGCTCGTCGAGAGAGGACTTTACTTGCACCTGTTGGCAAGAGATATTATGCGTTGGATTTCGAGGCTGACGTTGTTGTTGGCGTTGATGCTGGTTCCCAAATAGACGAAATTATTTACAACTTCTTAGTTATGATTGTTAGTAGGGACGTGATGCATAGTAGTGTTTGTTTGATGACGGAAGATATTTCGTCTTGCCCTCGTTCACCATTCTGGAGAAAGCAGAACTAACGGTGTTGTTGTTGAGGCCAATGATATCAATAAGATAATAGTGTGCCCTCATCATCAGCACACGCCAGAAACTGCACATCCTTATAGAAGTTTGTACCTTCTCGGTTCACTTCTGCCGCTCGAATTATTTCCTCCAGAAGTAGGTTGATGAAGTCACATGAAAGAGCCTTGCCTAAAACCTCGATTGGTATCGAACGGCTCGGAGAGCTCCTTCCCGATCCCGATGGAGCTTTTGGTGTTACTCAACGTCAGCTTACACAGCCGTATTAGTTTTGCGGGGATACCACATTTAGACATCGCGGCATAAAGGTAGCTCCTCTTTGTGTTGTCAAAGGCAGCTTGGGGAGGTGGTGATTGTCGATTTTATTTTCAGGAGTCTTTTCCAAGGTGTGGCGCTTGGTGAATATCTGGTCAGTTGCAGATTTTCCAGGACTAAAGTCACACTGATAAGGTCCAACTTTGTTGACGATGGGAGTTTATCTCTCACACAATACGCTCTATAGGACCTTATACGCGATATTGAGAAGGCTTATCCTACAGTAGTTGGCGCAGTTTGTGGAGTCTTCCTTTTTGTCAGTTGAGTATATCACATTTTAATTTCAATCTTTGGGTATGCTTTCCGTCCCCCGCTGATTATTTCTTCTTCAGGCGGGTAATTGCTATTCGAATTTCCAAATGGCCGGGCAATGCTCGATCGTCATCGATTGGGGAAACGGGTTCGGCTTCTCCTTCGGTATACTTTCACTGCCATTCGGCAGGCTGGAGAAGTGATCTATCCATAACTTTAGTATGCTCTGGTAATTTTTCACTAGATCACCTCTGGGAGTCTTACAAGGGCATGATGGTGAAACCTTCTCTTAGTCGCCATATCTTTTAGCAGAATTCTCCAGCATTACCCCTATCGGCCAGCTTGTCAAGCTCTTTATACTCACGCATTTCGGTTTCTCTCTTTTTCTGTCTGCAAATACGTCTCGCTTCTTCTTCAACTTTCGGTATCTATCCCATCCCGCACGTGTTGTGGTCGATTRTAGCGTAGCGAGGTAGGTAGTCTGTTTTCTCTCCACTGCTGTACTGATGAAGCTTGAAATGCCGTCCCACAGTGCCCTTATACCGAGTTTTTAACGAGTGCTTTCAGAGAGCAGGGGTGCAAGTCGAGTAGAAAATCGTTCACCTATCTGTTGTGATTGCCGCTTCTCGACTTCGAAACTTCCTTGTGTTTGTTAAGGTGCCTTATTGCTGCACAGCGGCTGGTGCGAATCTTGGCTGTAACAAGATAGTGGCCTGAGTCTATGTTAGGACCTCGGAGCGTACGCTTGTCTAAACCACTGGATATGTGTGGTCCCTCTATCACAACATGATCGATCTGGTTAGTGGCTTTTCGATCCGGAGACAGATAGGTAGCTTGATGAATTTTCTTACGCTTGAATCTAGTATTAMATATAACCATATTTCGGGGCCCAGCGAAGTCGATCAGCCTCAACCCATTTGGGGATGTTTCCTTGTGGAGGTGGAATATACCGACTGTTGTGCCAAAGATATCTTCCTTGCCCACCATTTTGAATTCGTATCGGATGCAACTCTTATAGGTGCGCTCATAGAAGGCATCGTTGGTCACATCATCCTACTATTTCGTCGGGGCTTGGGCGCAAATCAGCGATATGTTGAAGAACTTCGCTTAGATGATAATTGTGGCTAGACGTTCATTCACCGGGGAGAATGACAGTACTCGGTGCCATTCACACCGAACTTGCGCTCCTTTATGTGGCCACCGTAGACTACAAGGACTTATTCACTTCAGTCCTTGTCCCATTCATCGCTTTTCTTGGAGACTGATGTCAGCTTCTATATCACGAAGACATTAACCAGCTGGGCAGCGGCACTGCGGGTGCGAATTTTGGCTGCAACAAGATATTGGCCCGAGTCGATATTAGGACCTCGGAGCACACGCACATCTAAAATACTGGAGACGTGTCTTCCGCCTATCACAACATGATCGATCTGGTTGGTGGTTTTCGATCCGGAGAAAGCCAGGTAGCTTGATGTATCTTCTTATGCTGGAACCTAGTACTACAGATAACCATATTTCGGGCCCCGGCGAAGTCGATCAGCCTCAACCCATTTGGGGATGTTT